TCCTCTTATTTCTCCCTTTCGCAATTGTAATATGAATAATTAATAGAAGGTGCCTATAATAAATTAAAATTACATGAATCACATCAAATTCCGCATTGATGCACTGCACTGCCAAGCGACTTGTCGACAACTAAAATTTATGACGTAGCCGACCAGAGCAACAGTGTGTAACGCCTTTTGCCCGCACGCGCATTTTTCAACTGGGCGTATACATTTCTACCACCTGTACGTTTAGTTCGACCAGACATGTATATGGGTATGGCTAAATGATTAATAGAAGGTGCCTATAAAAAATTAAAATTACCTAAATCACACCAAATTCCGCATTGCTGCACTGCACTGCTGGGCAATTTGTCAACCACTTGTCAAAAGCTGAGATTTATTACCCAGTGGCCCAATGCAGTTGTGTTAGATTTCGTTTGCCCTCGCTCGCATTCTTCAACTGGGCGTGTACATTTCTGCCACATCCACGTTTAGTTCGACCAGACCTGTATATGGGTATGGTTAAATAAATATGGGAACAAGTTTTTCAATTATTTCAATGCCGAGTTGCTGCGTCAGCGACCGAACCTGGTACATATCGTCAACGTTTTGGTTCTTCAATCGATATTGGAAAAACTACACAAGCTCCTATTTCTATCTTTACTGATTCTACATTATTGGACTTCTTGAAACCCAAGCCTCACGGCTTCCAGCTGAGGTGTGTCATAAGTGTACAAGTTGGGTTAGAAGTGGCAAGAAAATATTGAAATGTATAACTGCATTAAATATGCGTTCGTAGGAAGGTTCACGATTTTTATTGTACAAATGACATCCCAACATTACAGAAAGTTCAAGCTGCATTCACAGGAGACGACAGTCCCGAAAAGTTTTACTATAGTAGTTTTTAGCGACCGTGGCCTAAAATACGCAGCGTTATTTAAAACAAAATAGAAAAAGTATGCTAACAGAAATGAATGAAATTGTAGTATGACGAAAAGAGCATTTTAGGAATAAACTGTCATATAGCGAAAATGAAAATTTGCTATCACAATGAAACATGGAAAAATGAAGGACATACGGTCGCTAAGGTTTGGCAAATATCAACAGGATACGAGAAACACTTTTAGAAGGATTTTCTACGGGATTAAAAGCATCTTATGGGAAATTAACAGCGATTAATAATTACACATATCGGAAGTGAATTCGGATTTTGGATAGTGGTTTACATACAGTCGAGCATTTGAAGGATTGTATCTTTAACATCACATCGAACCTAGTGATTGCCATAGATAGATTGCCTTACAATAATCGGTGAAGAGAAAAATTTCCAACATCTGCATTGAGAAAAGGAAAAATCATGGAATAGATAAATGGAAAACAATACAAGGAAATGAAATAGCTAATGTTCACGGCATTACACTTCTTCAACTATCACTTTAAGCTCCATTGAACTATTCTGAACGAGTATGCAACGCTTATGTGGCGAATAATACAACTCATAAATTTGAAGATGTTAAACTAAACATGGAATAAATGCATTATGCACGTACAAAAAGAAGGACAAATATTTCAGGGTGTCAATACAAGAGTTGAAGTTGCAATAGAACCACTCATCATACGTTTAGATGACAGCAGTGATAGCGATAGTGATAGTGATAGTGATAGTGATAGTGATAGCGATAGTGATAGTGATAGTGATAGTGATAGTGATAGTGATAGTGATAGTGATAGTGATAGTGGTAGTAATCAGTAATTTTACTAATGGTTATAATAGTCGTTTCTGGTGTTATCTCAATTTTCGGTGGTATTTGTACTTTTGGTGGTTTTACTAATTTTGCGACGCCCTACTATTTATGTTTAATAAATATTTGGTTACAAAGAGTAGAAAGATACTAAAAAATAAAAGATTGACAATAATATTGACATTCATTTAAAATGTAGATACCGACAAAATTTAGTCTGACATTTTTAGGAACAATATATTTTTTACTGGAAGAAAGGTCGATCGATATCGTTAGGATTATTACCTGGTATGGAATTTAGTGAACATTTAGTATTTCTGAGAAACAAGAGATTTTTTTAGTGGCAAATAATATAATACACTAAAAAGAATATCTAATAAACACTGTAAGATTAAATATTAATTTTAGAGAACTTTAGGTACTATTTTTGACAAATCAGAGCATTATTTTACAACTTGAATTTTCATTGATCAAACCCAAAAAAATTGCCTCTTTAATTTAATAACATATTGTTGCTATGAGCGTCCGAGAAAGTTTGGGCAAGGATAAATAAAAAATATTAATATTTTTTATTCGAAGGTACCTTTGAACAGCCAGGCTTGATGCACCCTTGCACCCCTCTCTGGACACATATGCTTTATTTGCGTTTTTTTCCAAGTATAATCATATTTTAAAGATTTCTTTATATTTTTAGGGGAAAGATACGTCTATAAATTTGTTTGTGATCCCGAAGCGCTCTTTAATATGGCGTATGGAAACCATAACGATAACTCAGTCAAATCCCAGCTAGGAAATAGACCGGAAAACTTAAGTACAAAAACTGAATCACATCATCTAGCTTATACGGACATGCTCAATTTCTACAACTGCGGAATCGCCCATTCGTACCAACATCTACATCCTTACCTGCAAGACTCCAAACATACACGTTTTGCATAATTAACACTTAAAGAGTTTTAATGTAAAATACTGTGTTATTCTTTATGTTAAGGTGAGGTACCATTGGTGGAAATATTGTCTTTTTGTGTGAATAAAAAATAAATAAAGTTTATGCTCTGTGAGTTTACACAAATCCACATACTATTTTATTTTAAATTTTTTTAAATTTTACCTGTTTTCAACTAACTGGGTACAAAAAAGTTGGAAAACTGTTTATCCATTTATTTAAATAATTTTCTTTTTGCATCAAATCAAAAGCATTTTAATTTTTGTTATATGTACAGGGTGATTCACTATATTTTGACCCCCCTTTAACTTTTTTGTTTTGAGAGTTATAAAAAAATGTGAAACATAAAAGTTGCACGAGTTTTTATGAATTTTTCGAAAATGATAGTAGAAAAACAAATGAAGTCCAAACAATATGGCCGCGGATGTTAACTTTGTTAAGTTAAATAGAACACCCTGTATAGTTTTACATATTTGAATAGAACGTTCTTTGTCGAGTATAGTCATGTAGGGTTTGTTGGGTCCATCGCTTACAATAATCGAGATACTATTTAAAATCGAAAAGAAGGTTTTTTATTAAGAAAATAAGACATCTTGTAATTGTTAAACCTTTTTCAGGCATTTCTGCCTTTTTCCAATTACGTAAGGATTTACAGATTTAGTTATAATATATTTTGACAGATCAGACATTGATATGGTGCAAAATGCGTATAGGTATTTTAACTAAATCTCACTAATTAGGCCGTGAGATGCCTAATTACTCATGGACAATGTTGTATGGTAGGCCGTGACAGTGACAGGTAATGTCATGACAACATTGTTATTGTTTGACAGTTTGTATTATTATTTAATTAAAATGGGTTACACAGAAGTAGAAAATTGAAATATTATAGGAATTAAAATATAGAGCAAAGTTCTTCTCCATACTCTCTTTTAATTCTAAATAATTTTCTGTGTAACTTATTTTAATTAAATAATAATACATACTATCAATCAATAACAATGTTGTCAAGACATTACTACCTGTCACTGTCACGACCTACCATATAATGTCCATGAGTAATTAGACCTCTCACGGCCTAATTAGTGAGATTTCGTTACATTACGTATACGCATTTTGGACCGTATCAATGTGCGATATATCAAAATATATTATAACTAAATCTGTAAATCCTTGATGATTGAAATGCCTGAAAGAGGTCTAACAATTACAAGATGTATTATTTTCTTAATAAAAAACCTTCTTTTCGTTTTTAAAAGTATCTTGCTTATTGTTACAGATGGATCCAACAAACCCTATATGGCTATGCTCGACAGGGAACGTTATATCCAAATATGTAAAAATGTACAGGGTGTTCCATTTAACTTAACAAAGTTAACATCCGCGGCTATTTCGTTTGGACTTCATTTGTTTTTCTACTATCATTTTCAAAAAATTCATAAAAAATCGTGCAACTTTTATATTTAACATTTTTTTTATCTCTTAAAACAAAAAAGTTAAAGGGGGGTCAAAATATAGTGAATCACCTGTACATTCAAAACAAATAAAATTAACAAACATGTTGAAAGTAATAAAATTAAATAAAATGTAAATTGATTTTTGTATTAAGGATATCTACAAAGTTTTATTGAGGAGAATCCAATGGCGTACGAGATATTTTTTCTATAACTTTCGGTTTTTCAATTATAAAACTAACTTATTTTATTAATAGAATGTCCCATATATTTTACAATTTTTGAAATATGCGTAAAATTTCTTTTAAATGACATTTACACAAAACATTCCTTTCAAGACATAAAAAACTATGAGTTTGTTATATCTAAAAAATTGAAATATTATCACAAACGAAAAAGTTTTTGACCGTCATAAAAAACAACCAAAGTTAAAGAACATCATGTATGGTCTTAAACGAATCAAAATATCTATCTTCAACTTTTCTCGAGAAAGTCGGGCCCGTGATGTCTAAACGACTTTTTTTCAAGAAATAGAAGAAATCTCCCACAAGTGTCGAATTTGGCCCAACCTGTACTCTATGGTACATAAAGTAAACTAGAATAAAAAATCCTGACCTGAAAGTGGCTATTAAAACGCTATTTACCAGTAAAAATAGATTGTTACTTCCTATAACAATTACATTTTATCACGATTTTTACAATTTCCTAATTTTCTACTCTGCAGTCGGTAGAAAGTAAAAGAAACTAACATAACAATATCAATAATAACCTTGGAAATTGAACAAATTGTGTTTTATAGCGATTTCCTTTGAGAAAACTGGTGCACACTGAGTGCACCATTGACGTTCCATTGGTCAAGTCGGTGCAAATTTTCAAATTCCATTGGAATACTAGAGCAACAGTTCTTGCTCTGAGTGCATATTATTTCGCACGATGTCTTGGAGCTGGTGCCGGTGTCAGTGCAAGAAAAAATGGCGGTAAATATGGACAAAGTTGTTGCTCCATTATTATCGTTTTTATCAAGTAGTAGTATTGATGATGATAAAATATATGTTATACCAGTTATACGCAAACAACTGCCAAAACTGGAAGGATTCATTGAAAATGTCATCTACAAACTTAAATAAGTGATCAGTTTTGTCTACAGGAATACACAATGTAACTTCCTCGTCGTTTATTTTAAATTTCAAATTTAATTCTTGATTCATTGTAACTACCCTCTTTGAAAAACTTCAACTGGTCAACTGTTACTTTGACTGAATAAAAATCAAAACATAAACATAACCTATAATGTCAGAAACCCACGCAAAAATTGTCATTCCATTGAGATTGCACCAGAGCATATTTCTCATACAACCAGTAGAGTGTCAGTGCTGCCCGAGTGCAACCCCAGTTTTCCCCAATGGAAATCGCTATCAGAGCAAGAACTGTTGCTCTAGTTTTCCCTACACAAACAATAAGGCCGCTCGCAAACACGGCCACTTGGGCTAGAAGCAACCACTAGTATTCGCTACAGGTGGCCGCCACGCGCTTCTAATTTTTTAACCAGTGGCCGCCACTTTTCATGAATTTTCTATCCAGTATCGTCTCTAGTCAGTTTCGGATATAAACACATCTACGTCTATAATNATCAGGGTTGCCACTAGGTCGACACGAAATTACTGACGAAACTTGATTGCATTCCTGACATTTCCTGGCAAAACTTAATTATATTATTACTTGCAATTCCTGGCAATTTAATAGTTTAATCTATTATTTTGGTGATTATTACCTTTGTCTTAACCGTCGTATCCCGTCAGTGTATAAATAGCTATCACTATCACTCTGTAACCTGTAATATTAAACATTAAACAAGGATCGCTGCCGAGTGCCAAGTGTGACAAAATATAATAGTAAAGAAGCATGATACATCGTCATCTAGCGGTGATATCGTGAATCGAAATTCTTAAAACTGATTAAAGTAATCTCTGTGCTCTGTGATGCTTATTTATGATCTTTTAATAACAAATGCAATAATGCAAATGTTGGGGGTTATTTGCAAATCGACATCCCTGAAAATGTTGCTCCCCTGGCAAATTTCTGACGTTAAGTCAATCCTGGCAAATTTACTGGCAGGACTCTTTATTCCTGGCAAATGCCAGTAATTACTGGCAAAACGGCAACCCTGTTCATAATTGCAATTGTCAAAATTTATTCTACAAAATCTTTGTGGCGACATCTATTGACTCTTTCCCCAACTTGTATATCCATCTCAAGTCACGTGGTTTCCAGTTTCCCCATATTTTCAAGTATAAGTTCTCGGGCCCTGTCCCAATTGTGAGGTTACGGTAACATTTTAAAAATTGTTATGGAAATATATTTATTTGTAAATTGTAGAAATGACCGCAAAGAAACGATGGCTAAATAAAATTTATCACGATTCTCAAGATTTTCCTAAAAGTACTCAATCAGATATATCATGGAGCAGTTCAGAATCTGATGAAGAAACGCGTATGAAGAAGTGCAAGGTGGAAAGTGCAAAAGATAGATGGATTACATCCAATATAAAACACAATCAGAAGACTTTTCCTGTAAAAATGAGAAATGATATGTGGCAGTCATCAAATTGTTACCAATCGGATGCTATAAATGTTTGGGATTTAAATAACTCAGCACCGAAAGTTATTCATACACCAAACGCAACTTGTAGCAAAACAAGTAAAATTGACACATCGTTACGTCAGAATTGTGAATCTCCTATAATTACTAACATGAAGGTAGAAGAATTGTCACCTGTGATTGTACAAACTCGATATGATTTCAACATAACTAAACAGGCTTCTCCCATTCTAGGTAATAAAATGCATGTATTAAAAAAAAATCGTTCCAATTATAAAACAAGGCGTATTGTCAAACAGGATGAATCTTCTCCAGATTTATTTGAAATGCCGTCTACACAAATCATAGAATCTGATTCCCCTGAACTGAAAAATGATTTGTCTTTATTTGAACCTGATACTTTATTACCAACTGAACGTATAGATCCATTTCCTAGTCAACATAGCTCACAAATAATTAATTCAAATACTGAAAGTTCACCAGGAAAAGACATATCTTTGTACCACCAACCTGCTCCTAAGAAGAAACGCTATAAAAAAGGGGGATTAGCATCACTTTTACAAAAAACGTTACATCTTCAAAGAACAAGAATTTCCATTTGGCATCATGAAATGTACACAAAAAAGATTGATAATATTATTAGCTTTGAACAAGGAAAGGTTATCGTTTTTGTAGTTAAAAATAAATGGAAGGAGTATGGAAATAACCTATTGGATTGCCACTCAATTGATTTATTACCAATGGAAGATAGTTCAGAGTTACCTACTGAAAATAATTTTATAGTCATTGTAGGTTTTAGCGCTAATCTAAACTTTACTTTGAAAACAAATAAGCAATACAAATTATTTCCTCCATATAGTGTAAAAACTGTCAACTACAAGTCCCTGGAAGTTTCTTGTTACTTTAATGTAACTAAATTAGTGCCTTTGAAAGATCTGTGACATGTTTTATACCTACGCAGGTAACTATTAAAATATTTTATTTAATGTTTATATTATGTATGTATTATTAAGAGAAAAGTTAAATATATTTTGTCTAAAAAGCTATCCTTTTCATTTTTCTAAAATATGTATTGAATTTTCTTTAGTGTAAAAGGTATACAAGGTGTAACTTAATATCTTCACCAAATTTATATATAAATTATAAACAATTTTTTTGTAATTTGGAGTCACATCCTTTAATCAAAATTAACAAAAAATTTTAAAGACCTATCAAAAGTAAGTTTTGAATATCTGCTAAGCCAGATGAAAAAATTACAAGTTTCTAAAAATAAAGGTGTGTATTTTTTCATAGGTAACCGTCCCATAAAAATAATATCAAATTTATTTCTTTTCAAAAATAATATATTAAAAAAATTTACTCTGCAAATTTTTATAAAAACAATTTCCAAAAAAATGTATAGAATAATACTTTTGTTCATTTGAAGTTTTTATGTACTTATATTTAATTTAAAAACAAACACACCCTGCAGAAGTTTAGCAGTTACATCATACACCTTAAAATAAATTGTCTTAATGAATTAATTAACGAATCAAAATAATCTATATTTCATAGAAACGTTTATACATTCTTTTTTTGAGCTATCGTTTTAAAGTGAATCAAGAAACTTGAAAAATAAAATTATGGCAGTAAATGAAAATACATGTGTCCATAATATATATATTTATTAAATAACTAAAAGCCAACAAAAAAGTAAAATATCTTCCCAAAATTTAAGTACAACATACAAAATATTGCTATACATTATATATGTTAAGACATTCTTAGTATGTATATCCATTTATATAACATTTAATTCGGTAAATATTTATTTTATTACAACAAACATTAACACATATTTGGTTCATATAGGTATTTATTTTTAATTTTGATTGTCAACAACACTTTAATTGGAAATTTGTGAAGAATTCTATAGTTTCTATTGAAGTAAATTTAAATTGTAACTTAAGGAATTTATCTTTTCTAAAAGACTACATCATAAATGCAGATATTATCTGCAACTGTAAGTGAACATAACATATTAAAGTGATTCGTTAGAGGAGTTTGTTGTTCAAAATTGGAAAACTAGATAGGTAGGTACCTACTTTATAAATTGTAGATTCAGGGTAATAGGTACATTACATAGGGCACAGAGATAGAGTAGAGCTTTAGGGGTAACATACATTGAAGTGATAAGCAAAGTTTGTAGAAAGTCGAAAGGAATTGAGGCAAAATCAAAAAAAGCTTTAAAATTGAGCCCCAGCTTACTTCTTATTGCAATTTTTTTATTTAAATACATATAATGTGGCAATTATATTCATTGGATTATTAATTACATATAATTTCTAATAAATTCCTAATATATCAGCATGACCTGTAAACAATATTTGGTTCCATAACAAACCACAATAGAGAAACATGTTTTATACAACTTGTTTAATTTCTTTGTTTGCTCTATTACTTAAAAATCTTGTTTATGTATCATTTTTTATATGTTACAGCATATTTTAATTCCTAATTTTAGAGGCCCTGCACTAAACAAACTTAACTTTAAGCAATACAATTTTAGCATTAGTTTTTCAAATATTAGTAACACCTATCCCCAAAACTAAGTGATATAATGTTGTGATTTCCAACCATTTCGCATTTCGTTATAGGCATGTGTTACCTAGTACGTAGAATGGAAAAATATTTTATTTTTTAAATTCGTTAACTGGATATCAGAGCCAAATTCAACCTACTGTGATTAAACAAAATGAGTTTGTCCCAAACAGAAAGAAGAACCTCACTTATAATTCACCATAAATTGTATTTGTTCTATTTCATTCCAGATATTTAAAAAAAAACTAATTAAAGAGAAACTATATAACTTGAAAAAATATTAACATCATAGCGATGAGACATGTGAGACCTGAAATTTGCTTAAGAGTGGCATTTAATTTTGGCGAGAATTAAAAAGTAGTGATGTTTCATATAAAATGAGGAAGCATAATGGCATCACCACTAAACTAAATGCCATATTCTTATACAAAAAATTATATTTTAATTATACAGTAAAGAAATTTAGTAACTTTTGTATAAAACATTTTTCTATTGTGCTCAGTAATGAAATTAGAAATCATTCTCAGATTGTTGTGCCACACTGATTTCTAACAGACTACCCAGTAAACCCTATTTCATTACTGATTTTTTTTCTGTAAGTCCGTTGGATAGACAATTTGAAAACAAAAAGCAGAATCTTAAGAATTGGTATTGTCTCACATTATCTTAAATTCAGTTGAGTGTGTTGTGTTTTAAATTTCTTAGTTCTGTAGATACCCATAGGGTCGATAAAATATACATTGTCTCTGTAAAATACGTAAATAAAGTAAGATCAGACATTCCTTGGTTTAAAATAAATAGTTTAGATCAGTTCACCTATGCAGGGGTGGTCTGTAATTGTATGTTGCACAGCGTATGACAGTAATAAGCATAATAAACTGTTATAATATTCTTAATGAAACTTTTGGTCAGTTAACGGAAGTATGGCCAAGTAGTTTTAAAATAAAATTTAAAATTCTTGGTATTTCTGAAACAGTTTACAATAAAAACTTTAAAAAAGTGTCGATTCGAGACATAATTTAGTGGTGTTACCATAAAAAAAATCAGTGACAACTTAGTAGACCTTAAATATTGCATTACAAATTGTTGACAGAAGAGCATTTTTGATCAAGACTTGCATTAAAGACATATGAAAATGTTGTGGCGATAATCAGCAATGTATGTCATTTTCTTATGGATTTTAGTAGTTATTACACCCAAATAAAAATGTATACCAATTAAGAAGCATCTAGCTCAAATTGTTTTTGTGTACCTATATGAAAAAATATTGTTTCGTGATGCTACAAAGCTTACCTATATTCACTTATTTTGATCCAAGAAATCTCTGGTCATGCGTACACATATTTTACAGACATCCACATTGACACATGTTCTTGTGCCCAAACCGTACAAATTCAAATTTTATAACCAAGTTCTTGTAAAATAAAAATGAAACAACTATAATTTAAATTGTACGTAACAGATTAGTTAATTTTTACACTTTAGTCATTCAGTTTTCAAAATATAGAGTATTTTCTTGGTTTAAAAATGTTAATATAAAATATAATATAAAATTATAAAAATTAAAATCTCTGAGAGATTGTCTTTTCTTAGTAGGTATTTGTAATAATATAGATAATAGTTAATAACATATTGAACTTTCTACAAGCAAACTTAAAGTATTTAATATACATATTGTTCTGGAAAATATTGGAAAATTCACCCAATTGTAGCACAAATATTGGTAACTACTAGTTGTATGAAAATTCTATATTTACAGCAATTATTTTTTCAATTTTGAAAGTATTAGGTACACACAGTTTGTAAATTTTCTCAAACAATATACAGCTATGGAAGTAAAAAGTTTCAGCTAAATTGGTTCTGGTTCTTCATAAAATAAGATTTTATTAGATTTGATTGATAACATTGTTTTAGGTAGGAAACCTTTTTTTCTTGACAACTGTATGGAAGTTTGGCACAACATAGTTGCCTCTATTTGTGCTATAAGAGTTTGAATTTTCTTAAAAATATTGTCTCCATATAAGTGAATAAGATTTTTACTCGATGGTATGTATAAATTAATCGGAAAGTATATATAGACGATCTGCTTATATTAACCAAAAGACTAGAAGAATACATTTTAGCTTCATATTTCACAGTTTTAAAGACAACTTTTATTTTGAATAAATACACTCTAAAAACATAATTAAGGCAAGCTCATAATAGAACAATAATCGAACACTCTGGTTTACTAAATGTTTTTGCCAAAAATTAAGCATAGCATTATATAATTATGACATAACATAATTGCGCTACTGTGGTTTGTCTTGATGTAATAAGTATTATTAAGCTGTCGTATATACTTAAAATCACAAAATATATGTAGTTAATAAAGAACACATTTCAACTTAGATTATTTTAAACACCTTTAGATCTTAAGAAGGGAAGCTCCATCAGAGTCGGACATTAAAGACTTCCATTAGCTTTAAGGAAGACAAAGAATAATTTTTCAATTCAGTTTTCAATAATAACGTAAAGTAGGTATTTTTTTAAATATTTTCATCTAGAATTATCTGTGTTTATTGTCTCTATATATTTTTTAAATGTTTCAAAAATAAAAAACCTTCAAAGATCATACAGGGTGTCTCAATATTCCGTGTGTATAGACTACCACATATTCTTGAAGTTAACATAAGATACTCGTGATTTAACTAAACTCTAAAACTGTTTTCGTTGATTTAAATTAAATGTAATACGCTAATACCTACTTATGTATAAATACAACTTTTTGACACAGTAGTAATTAAAATAGTTGCAGTTACAAGAATTGAAATAATACCCCTAAGCAAATATAGGTAGGTAAGTACTCCTATTTCTTTTGCAGGTAACTTTACAACTTCAGTTTAAGAACTAAACCATTAATGTGAGAACTTTGGCTTTACTATCTTGTAAGTTTGTATTTGTATTGGTTTCGCGTAGTTAATTATAATATTTATGTCGATGATAAAAATGGAATTATGTTCAGAACTTGTAATGGTTTACTTCTTCAGGAAAATTATTGGAAAAGATAACCATTTTCAGCAGTATCACACTAATTTGAAATTTTCCTAATGCTCTAAATTATGAACTACAGTTTTTCGACGAACTTATAATTTTTTTTAAATACTTAATTTCACAAAAGGTTGTACCCAACAAAAGGTGAAATAGCGTCTCGGTGATCATAAAAATTTGAATTTGATAAAGTTACATTGACAGATAATTAGGATATTTTTTTGACAATGTGTTTCTAAAAGTGGTAGTCATTTGCAATAATTTTCGTGAAATTATGAGATTATAAGACTCTGAATACCATAAAATAATACAGTTTTTAATTTCAAATCAAATGTGCAGAAAAGTATTTGTGACAACTAATAAAATAATAATTACGTGAAAACCATAAATACAAAAAAA